CTTGGATGTGGTGTAAAGGATAACGTCTTGGAATTGTTCTGTTTGCTAAGTTCCATTTCCAGTTAGCTTTGCGCAAGTCCCTTGTGAAAGATTATTCATCCACCTTTTCTCTCCCCACCTATGGGTTAATTAGTAAGACTTGTATCGCTAAAAACCATTATTATCTCAAAAAGACATTTTAAAATCTAAAAATATTTTCTAGCTTTAAACCCTTTCCTAGGCGTGTATATTCGGGCGAATAAACACGTGTAAAACATAACGTTTAAAAACCAGCTACAGACGTGTTTATATGTCGACCTTGATTCTTTTTAAGCCCTTTTGAACTTAAAACTAGTCCAGTTGTCAACTCATACGTCTGGTAAAGCTCTTAGCCACCGCCCGGGTACTTTAGGGTACTTCAGTTTCTTAGCCTTCCTGAAGCAGTCAATGTGGTCGGGTGCATTTTGTTCCGACACTCTCTCTCATTTTTTACGTTTTTTTTATTATTTTATTTTTTTTCAACAGATTGCAACCCAAATGTCTAGTTCAGAGGAAAAGAGTAAATATGGTAATAAATTATATAATAAATTATATAAGAAATTTTTTTAAAAATATATTAAAGAATATGATTTATGAGGAGACGTGTTTACACGTCTTTGCTGAAAAAAGTTATTTTCATCATATAATCCCAGCCATAAAAAATGTGGAAAAATAAAATGCAAATAAAAAAATTCATCTGAAAATGAAACGTTTGCCCAAAATTATTGAAGGTGAAGGGTTAAATAACTTGCAAAAGGTTGATAACCCTAATCCATGCCGTCAAAAATGAATCAATCAATGAAATACTAATTAGCTGCACAGGCATCTTTTAGATTCATTTACATTCTAACGAATATGAAGCGATTGCTTTATAGACTCAAATACAAACTTGACACATGTCTACCTATAGACTCGATTATATGGACAACAAGCGATTGCTTTATTGACTCAAATACAAACTTGACCCATGTCTACCTATAGACTCGATTATGTGGACAACAAGCGATTGCTTTATAGACTCAAATACAAACTTGACCCATGTCTACCTATAGACTCGATTATGTGGACAACAAGCGATTGCTTTATCGACTCAAATACAAACTTGACCCATGTCCACCTATAGACTCGATTATGTGGACAACAAGCGATTGCTTTATAGACTCAAATACAAACTTGACCCAAGTCTACCTATAGACTTGATTATGTGGACAACAAGCGATTGCTTTATCGACTCAAATACAAACTTGACCCATGTCTACCTATAGACTCGATTATGTGGACAACAAGCGATTGCTTTATAGACTCAAATACAAACTTGACCCATGTCTACCTATAGACTTGATTATGTGGACAACAAGCGATTGTTTTATCGACTCAAATACAAACTAGACCCATGTCTACCTTAGGCTCGATTATGTGGACAACAAGCGATTGCTTTATAGATTCAAATATAAACTTGACACATGTCTACCTATAGACTCGATTATGTGGACAACAAGCGATTGCTTTATTGACTCAAATACAAACTTGACCCATGTCTACCTATAGACTCGATTATGTGGACAACAAGCGATTGCTTTATCGACTCAAATACAAACTTGTCCCATGTCTACCTATAGACTTGATTATGTGGACAACAAGCGATTGCTTTATCGACTCAAATACAAACTTGACCCATGTCTACCTATAGACTAGATTATGTGGACAACAAGCGATTGCTTTATAGACTCAAATACAAACTTGACCCATGTCTACCTATAGACTAGATTATGTGGAAAACAAACGATTGACAACAAGCGATTGCTTTATCGACTTTATAAAAATACAAACTTGACCCATGTCTACCTATAGACTTGATTATGTGGACAACAAGCGATTGCTTTATCGACTCAAATACAAACTTGACCCATGATTAGACTCGATTATGGGACAACAAGCGATTGCTTTATCGACTCAAATACAAACTTGACCCATGTCTACCTATAGACTCAATTATGTGGACAACAAGCGATTGCTTTTATAGACTCAAATACAAACTTGACCCATGTCTACCTATAGACTCATAGACTTGATTATGGACAACAAGCGATTGCTTTATCGACTCAAATACAAACTTGACCCATGTCTACCTATAGACTCAATTATGTGGACAACAAGCGATTGCTTTATAGATTCAAATATAAACTTGACACATGTCTACCTATAGACTCGATTATGTGGACAACAAGCGATTGCTTTATTGACTCAAATACAAACTTGACCCATGTCTACCTATAGACTCGATTATGTGGACAACAAGCGATTGCTTTATAGACTCAAATACAAACTTGACCCATGTCTACCTATAGACTTGATTATGTGGACAACAAGCGATTGCTTTATCGACTCAAATACAAACTTGACCCATGTCTACCTATAGACTTGATTATGTGGACAACAAGCGATTGCTTTATAGACTCAAATACAAACTTGACCCATGTCTACCTATAGACTCGATTATGTGGACAACAAGCGATTGCTTTATCGACTCAAATACAAACTTGACCCATGTCTACCTATAGACTAGATTATGGAGATTGCTTTATCGACTCAAATACAAACTTGACCCATGTCTATTATTATGTGGACAACAAGCGATTGCTTTATAGACTCAAATACAAACTTGACCCAAACTGTCTACCTATAGACTAGATTATGGGACAACAAGCGATTGCTTTATCGACTCAAATACAAACTTGACCCATGTCTACCTATAGACTAGATTATGGACAACAAGCGATTGCTTTATAGACTCAAATACAAACTTGACCCATGTCTACCTATAGACTCGATTATGGGACAACAAGCGATTGCTTTATCGACTCAAATAAAACTTCACCCATGTCTACCTATAGACTAGATTATGTGGACAACAAGCGATTGCTTTATTGACTCAAATACAAACTTGACCCATGTCTACCTATAGACTCGATTATGGACAACAAGCGATTGCTTTATCGACTCAAATACAAACTTGACCCATGTCTACCTATAGACTCGATTATATGGACAACAAGCGATTGCTTTATAGACTCAAATCTACAAGACTTGATTATGTGGGCAATCAGTCAAGCCATTATCTAAATACAAACTTGTCCCATGTCTACCTATAGATTATTATGGACAACAAGCGATTGCTTTATAGACTCAAATACAAACTTGACCCATGTCTACCTATAGACTAGATTATGTGGACAACAAGCGATTGCTTTATCGACTCAAATACAAACTTGACCCATGTCTACCTATAGACTGATTATGTGGACAACAAGATTGCTTTATCGACTCAAATACAAACTTGACCCATGTCTACCTATAGACTCGATTATGTGGACAACAAGCGATTGTCTTTATAGACTCAAATACAAACTTGACCCATGTCTACCTATAGACTAGATTATATGGACAACAAGCGATTGCTTTATCGACTCAAATACAAACTTGACCCATGTCTACCTATAGACTAGATTATGTGAACAACAAGCGATTGCTTTATCGACTCAAATACAAACTTGACCCATGTCTACCTATAGACTTGATTATGTGGACAACAAGCGATTGCTTTATCGACTCAAAATACAAACTTGACCCATGTCTACCTATAGACTAGATTATGTGGACAACAAGCGATTGCTTTATCGACTCAAATACAAACTTGACCCATGTCTACCTATAGACTCGATTATGTGGACAACAAGTGATTGCTTTATCAACAAACTTGACCCATGTCGACTTGATTATGTGGACAACAAGCGATTGCTTTATAGACTCAAATACAAATACCCATGTCTACCCATAACTTGACCCATGTCTACCTATAGACTAGATTATGTGGACAACAAGCGATTGCTTTATCGACTCAAATACAACCTATAGACCAACAAGCGATTGCTTTATCGACTGTGTCTACCTATAGACTAGATTATGTGGACAACAAGCGATTGCTTTATCGACTCAAATACAAACTTGACCCATGTCTACCTATAGACTAGATTATGTGGACAACAAGCGATTGCTTTATCGACTCAAATACAAACTTGACCCATGTCTACCATAGACTCGATTATGTGGACAACAAGCGATTGCTTTATCGACTCAAATACAAACTTGACCCATGTCTACCTATAGACTTGATTATGGACAACAAGCGATTGCTTTATAGACTCAAATACAATAGACTTTATGACCCGATTGCTGTCTACAAACTTGACCCATGTCCACCATAGACTAGATTATGTGACAACAAGCGATTGCTTTATCGACTCAAATACAAACTTGACCCATGTCTACCTATAGACTCGATTATGTGGACAACAAGCGATTGCTTTATAGACTCAAAAACTTGACCCATGTCTACCTATAGACTTGATTATGACAACAAGCGATTGCTTTATAGACTCAAATACAAACTTGTCTACCTATAGACTAGATTATGTGGACAACAAGCGATTGCTTTATAGACTCAAATATTGACCCATGTCTACCTATAGACTCGATTATATGGACAACAAGCGATTGTTTATAGACTCAAATACTACTACCTATATGAAATAAAACTTGACCCATAGATTATTATATGGACAACAAGCGATTGCTTTATAGACTCAAATACAAACTTGACCCATGTCTACCTATAGACTTGATTATGTGGACAACAAGCGATTGCTTTATCGACTCAAATACAAACTTGACCCATGTCTACCTATAGACTAGATTATGTGGACAACAAGCGATTGCTTTATAGACTCAAATACAAACTTGACCCATGTCTACCTATAGACTAGATTATGTGGACAACAAGCGATTGCTTTATAGACTCAAATACAAACTTGACCCATGTCTACCTATAGACTCGATTATGGACACAAGCGATTGCTTTATCGACTCAAATACAAACTTGACCCATGTCTACCTATAGACTCGATTATGTGGACAACAAGCGA